TGTCCAGGCCATGGGGCAGTTAAGTCTCTTCAATACAACAAAGGCAGAGAGATAACAAATAACAAAGCAGTCACAAATGCCATCTTACACTGCAAGATTTAAAGATGTCTCTCTAGCAGAGAAGTGTACATGCTGCTTAGTGAACCATTACCTTTCATATGATAGAATCCATGTTTCTAGAAATTCAGCTGTCTTTTACACTATATTTAACCCAAGAAAAAGCAAGACATGGGTTCCAGGGGTCAGATGACGGCATATGTAAAAGGAAAATGCTCTAGCAAAGGCGAAGATTGCGTGAGTCATTGATATTCAGGGTTCTGAATGAAAGATTATTTGTTATTTTGCTTACAGCTAATTTTATTTACAATAATGTTAGATCCGTTGTATGCTCTTTTCTTTTTGTAATGACAGAAACAAAGCCATGCAATACACCAAGAAAGCACAATTTAAAAATGTAAAGTCTTAAATTATACTCAATACATTTTCAGGGATTATTAGTATAGTCTGCATTGAACATGTTACTATACATCCATCCTCATCCATGAACTGGCTACCAGTGAAACTGTTTATTGTATATCTTTCAAATATTCCTATTAGGGTAGAAGGCTAAAAACAACCAACCAAAAAAATGCATGATTTGCTGCCTTTACATGCCAACAAGTGCCATAAAGTTATTTTATGCTGGTTTATTGACCTTTCCAGGAAATAATCAGACCAACACAGAATATCTTCCTACTTTTCCATTGTGAGACTCCTTGTCCATGGATGTTAGTAATCCTCACCCCTTCTCTTGTCAAGTCCTTAATTAAAACATTACAGATTTTCTTTGATATTTAAAATGACTTAATTTGTTGTCATGTGCTGTGGGATTGTCATATACAATACAAGTATGATTGAAGGTTATCCTTGCAGAACAAATCTGCAATCCCAGTAAACAGCTTATGTAATGATAAAAACAAAGTTTTGTTATCATAATATTCACCAACATTTCCAGATGTGTTAATTATGCACTAGTTCCTTTTCTAAACAAGGCTTAATTTCAACCAATTGAGGGACAAGCACTAAATTTTACAAGATGTAAACAAGGGTCTAAGCTACAATATATGTGAAAACGATTTACCATTTTCATTTTTTTTACAGAATATGTAAAATAGTTTGACTATCCAACTTTAAAAGAATATCCAAATTATCTTCCCCTGTTTATCAGTGTTGAGGATATGGATGTCTTATGGTAGGGTGGGTGGGGTGCAAAATGAATCTCTTTCTCTTGAATGGTTAGTCATTCAGGTCCAGAAATCACAGTCTAACAATTTCCCCCAGGGGACAAACACTTTTCATCAAAATCAAAGGGGAGGTGGCCACCAGGCGATTGATTTAATATGGAATGACTCAACACCTCTCTCCTTTTCAAGACATGTTTCATCTTTTCTAAAAGTATTTATCTTAAAGGTTCTCATCCACACTGTAGACACTTCTCACATTCAAACAATATTTTTCATGGAGCTTTTCAGAAATCATCACCCTACTTCTCCTTTAATCACAGATTTAGTGGAAAGATTTTGTTGTATAAATGAATGATGAATTTCTCCCCAAAATATTGAAGTAATTATTCATAAACTTGTTCAATAATCTTGTCTAGCTTACAAAGCATGCTGCACTTATGAATTAACTATAAGAAAAAGGGGGCATCTTATAATGGAGTCCTTAACGAATAATATTGAAGTAAATGTCTGCTTATCACACAGTAAATCAGCTGCAAACATCATAAAATGTCAATTGTAACGTTATAAACCTGCAAATGCAAGAGCGATAGCACAGCAATTTGGATATATACAGTAAAACATCTTGGATTAATTTTTACCTGGGGGCTACTGTGTTTCCCAATAGCATTTGTCTGTGCCTGCACCAGTTACAATATTTTGAGTTAACTACAGCAAATCAGCAAATGTATTGTAGTCATTGTAGTCCCCAATGAAGAGCTGAGAAGTGTTAATAATGTTATAGCTTATTTTGATACTTTTCTTATTATGCTCTTGCTCGTATGACTAACATTACACATAAGGCAACATAAACACACTTTGAAAACTCAATTAATTGTATAATTGAGAAAACTTTGGATACCAACTTAGATTTAAGTTTGACTGTGTATTTGGCAATTGGAATTGAATTTGCCACAGGAAATGTGTGCGTACAGTAGTTTTCCTTGTGTTTGTTGAGTTAGTGCTGATCAAAGATTTATATATTCATTACTGATTAGAAAATATACTTTATATTGATATCACTCAACACATTTTCTCCCCCAATTATGGAGCTAAACAGCAAGTATTTAAATTTATGCTTTTAACTATATCCCAAAATTCTTTGGGAACTCTTTTGGAAGTCTTTTTTCACTCATAGTTCATGTTTTTGCTACCTGTGTGTAACACTACACTTAATGTCATCTGCCAGGTGTTTGCTGAGCCTTGGAAGTGGTTTAAGTTTAACCTCTTAAGCTTTAGATCAATTGGATTGTGAGTAATTAAGCAGGTGATTTGTTAAATTACATAATTTAGAGATCACCCGGGACCAAAATCTGAGTACACTTCAGCTCTTAAGGACAGGGGATTCTGTTAGTTGAACAATAAACTGGTGAGACAGCTTGTTCCAGACTCCTCATAGTCCGCTCCTTCCAGGACTATGAAAAATATTACATTTTTCTGTCTGTCAGTGTAGTATATTTCTCTTAACCTGGAAGACATGCTGAATTTGAATTTGACCTATACAACTAGCTGATTTGGACTCTCTCTCTACGACCTGTTTAGGGGAGCCCAGATCTAAATCTTTTTGAATTTCTCTTCAGTTTCTGCAGTGTTTGCTAGCCTTCCTGTTAAGGTATTTCTGTGAAACTGACTAAATCCTAACAGTACCAGAATCTAGATGATCTGATATACTTAATAATATGAATGTAAAAATATATATGCCACAAATTAGAGCCTATCATCTTTACTTTTTCATCCATTTGATAATGAAATGTCTAGCTCAGCTCAGCTTAAAATTGGTTTGTATGAAAATAGACCAATTTAATTAAATGTTTGTAAGGATTTTTTACATGTCTGTGGGTACTAGTAGTACTGGAAACACTCTTAATTACCAGTATATTCCATTTGGATGAATCCATCTTCAGAACTTTACATTTATCAATATTATTGCTTATTTAGTAAATGCTCTAATATTTAAACATTTTAATTACAGACCCCAGACATATTACAGACCTCAAACAGGAGAGAAAATAGTTTCTAAAGGGGTTGATCTTATGTTTGGTGTATTAATCGTATGGTCTTTCATGTTATATTTCTCACAATGTAATACAAATCTGAATTAAAGACATGATGTAGGCCTGCTTTTCCTATGTTTACAAAACAAAACACTGATAACTAATTTAAAAAAACCTCCCCACAATGTGTATGTATATATAGTGTTTTAATAATTTAGGTATACATTTAAATAAATATTAGACTAGAGTCAATAGATTTGAAATATAAAAAAATGTTTGGCCTTTTAACGGTAGTAGATTACATATTGAGGTTTAATGGATCTGAATTACTATCTTTCCCTTGCCAAGAGAGGTTGGTAGGAATTTAGGCAATGATATAAACATATGTATAATTGTTTAAATTGGTGTGAATAACATATTTACATACGAGGGGCGGGTCCCCTTTTCCGAGTTGAAATCCCAACTAAAGAACGAAAAGTCGTTGTTTTTTTTTTCAATTACTTCCTTTGCTCATCATAGTCCGACCACGAAGTGACTGTAACCCCCGGGTGGGAGGTAAAAATCACTCAGTTGTGAACCAGGCGCTGAAAGAGGGAGGGGTGTAAAACCAACAAATTATTGCCGATTGAATGGGTCGCGGCGGCGGATGATTGGTGGTGGGTGGGTACAAATCCGGATTTCATCCCAGTTGTTTTTCTCCCGAAAGGAACAAAACCCTGGTTGTATTGCAAATCCGCAACGCCAAACTGCTAAAGATGGGCTGCGAAAGAAAAAAAAGTCAAAGAAAATGCTTCATTGTCTAAATGTGTATTTATGACCCAGACCCCACCAGATGGCTTAGAATTGACCCATTTATAACTTTTTTTAGCTTCAGTGATAGTGAAATGAATATCGAAAGTCCCATTAAAGAGCCATTGTTTTCAATCTAATTCACTTAACCCCTCCGATTATTAAACCCTTGACTGCCTTGCTACGACATGCGCAGTGAAAATAATATCTGTGTAGTTGGGTCTTCAGTCGTCGCAATAATAAAAATTTAATCTGACTGACAATTATTGAACCTTACGTGCAATGCTATTAAAATGGTTTCAATTATACTTCCACTGCCAACCAACTGACAACAGGCTTGCAAAATCACAACAGTATACATATTTTAAAATCCCCAAGGCCCGAACAAATCACCTTCATGCAAGACAGGACTTGGATTAAACCACCAGTTTGAAGTCGCCAGGGCCTCTAACAATTCCGCCCTTTCCTGTTTTTATCTAATAATTGTTAAAATTGAAGCATGCCAAGCGAAGGCTAGCTATAATGCAATTTTCTACTAGGGGACCGTCTATATATTACTCTGGTAGCGCTGCGGCAGCAGAATGGAGAGGGGGGGGGTGTTGTCTCTTTAAGGGGACATTCAACCCTAATTAACCAGAATTCCGATCGGTGTTAGTAGTCGGCAAAGGACAGACGAAACAAAATGGGAGAGATTCCACTTGTCGTTTTCACTACCAGCAAGCGAAATGACCCCACGTTACTTTGATTGACAGCTGAACAAATGTTACCCTTGCTCCCCAGTTCGCTTTGCGAAACGTCACTGAAAAGGGGGCGGTTTACACGGGGCGGAGCGTGATGTCAAGCTTCTATTGGATAGTCTTTCTCCACACATCATTTCCCCACGTGGGGTCAAGCCTGAAGGACCACCTCGGGCTCATGATTGGTTGTGAAGGTAGTGACTGACGTTCTAGGTGGGCAAGGCCAATACTACCCTTCTACGATGATTGGCTGTCTTCCATAGTTGCTCCGCCTCGAAGCCCGTTGCCTCGCCTTGGGACTATTCGCGAAGCCATAAGGAAAATGTAGTTAAAAGAAAGATGGACTTGCTTTGAAAATCTCAGGATGGAACTTGCCCAGAGACTACGTTACCCAGAAGCCAATTGGTCCCATTGCTGTTTGTTGTGAATATATATCAGAATTCTAATGACTCGCTGCTTCTAAATTTGGTCAAAGAAGTCACTACAGAAGGCTTGTTGTTAGAGCTGTAACGGGAGTACTTTGCAGACGTTTCTTCTCAAGTCTCTGGGATCTATATGCTTTTCATAAATGTGTAAAATGGCAATCAATGATCAATAATAATAAAAAATATTCAGTTTCTTTTTAAAACAAGAAGTATACCTTCGAGAAAACAGACTGCAAATTAAAACCAAAATTATTCGAAGTGGTGGAAAAAAAAATCTTATTTGCTAAAGCTGAAATAAAATCTTTTGGAAGATAAATGGAATGCTCTTTTGTCACGCGAAGGTGAATTTCCACACATTAAAAACTGGATTCCAGTCGGAATTTTGATTTTTTTTAAATCGCCGAGCAACCAGCGTAAACTCGCCGCGAGAAGAAAGCGCTTGGGAGTTCTGAATTATTGACAGAAACCTGTCGAATTTACATGGGAAGCGAGTGTACTTCCTGCTATATATTTTAAAAATCCGCGAAAACACATGGGAATGTTGGAACACTCTTTGCGAAGGGATACAGTTGGATACAAAGTGGCATCGCATGAGGCGTAGAGGAAACGGCACTTTGCACGGAGAGAGCGGAGTGAGAGTGAGCGCCATCAGATTTATGTACACGGCATAAGTTGTAGCCTTTCCATCTTCGAATATTGTGGAAGGATTAAATACCATTTTGATGATTCGAGATCTGAGCAAGATGTACCCTCAGGCACGGCACCCAGTAAGTATATAAAATCCGAGCGCAAAAAAACCCCATCTCTCCTGCTGTTGGTATCCACACGTAATCAGTTTGTATCAGTTTCCGCACAGGACAATCGCTGCGTTGTTGAGTCTCAGCGCTGACTACGGAAAAGCGATTAGAAATGTATTTGAATGTGATTTTCCACAGCAGCTTTGATTTGTGCAACAGCAATCGCATGGATGATCAACTCCAAACAACTAAACGACGAGAAAGTCCAGCAACAGCATATTTTGCCCAGAAGGACTCTCAGACACGAGTGTTTATTGGCGTCTTTAGTTGTTGGTAACCTTTCTGGTTTGTGGTGTACACAGGGAAACCAGCCGTAAGGTCTGTATATGTGAAGCACTGTGTTTTGCACGGTGTTCAGCGACGTTTTGCATAAATAGCATTTATTATGGCGGACTGTACAATGTCGTATTCGGTTTTACGTGGTTTTAAAATTTTTAGTTGTATTTATCTGTTCATTTACTCTCTTGTTGCGCTTTTAATTCCAGGCTCCCCACCAACCTGCGCAGCCCTTTAAATTCACCATATCGGAATCCTGTGACAGGATCAAAGAAGAGTTTCAGTTTTTACAGGCTCAGTACCACAGGTAAACTTCGTTTATTTTATGGTCCGTTTCTTTCTTTCTTTCTTTCTTTCTTTCTTTCTTTCTTTAAAGGTAAGGATTAATCCTCCTTTCATTTCACTCCGATAGTGCTCTGCATTTCTCAACGTTCTGTTGTTAATTATGTCCAGTCTGTTGTTTTCTAAATTATTTCACTTGATTAATTTTTAATAGAACTAACCCTTTTGAAACCAGTTTGACCCGGGATCATTCTGTAATGCAGGCTGACACTGTGTGGTCTGTTGCTTGTTACTGCATCGCCCATTACATCCCAACCGAATAAACCAGTGTTTCTCATCAGTCATGTAACACACTTAAAAAAAAAAAATTAAAACAGTCTGCCTTCCCCCTTCTCTGCTATATTGTATTCCTTATTTACCTGTCATTGAAAGTTACAAGTTTATTACACAATACTAATTTGAATCGTTCAATATTTCGCTCCGTCCTCAAAAGCTTCGAGTCCTCGGAGAACTCTTTTCAGACGCAAGAGTATGTCGAATCATATGGTCACCGTCAAATAACTTGTCATAAGTGTCTCGATTTACCTTCTATTTTTTACATTTCTCTTTACTTAAAGCGCTATTAAATGTTTGTTCTTCTTCATATTAATGTTTTGAAGGAGGGGGGTTGTTTGTTGGTGGGTGGGACGAACGCGAGAGGTACAGTAAATCCTCTTATCGAGTAGCTAAGCACCGACTATCCTCGCGCAATACAATACGGTTCCCATTACTTGTGAAGTAAAGGCTTATGACGTTTATCTTCATAAGATGTCATATATACTTAGTTTATCTTTTTAATGTTTTGTTTAATTTTCCATATAGTCTGAAACTGGAGTGCGAAAAGCTTGCCAGTGAGAAAACTGAAATGCAGCGACATTACGTCATGGTGAGTAAACAGCATCACAAATTATTCACGTGGTTAATTTGTGTGAGCACGCTGGAGTTCTTGTTTGAGGTTATGAAGCAAGTATTAGTGTTTTGACAGATGTATGTTGTGAAAAGGGAAGATCTCATTGGACACGATTGTCCTGTCTCTCTTAGCTGTTCCCTAATGTGTTGGATTTTGTATTTCCGCCGGTTGAGATTGTCATATACAGTATCAAGACAATGTACTAATTATCAAAAGTGAATTTATTATATTGAATCAAAAATTCCAGTTACTTTTTTTTGCTTAAACATTAATTTCTTTTACAGTACTATGAGATGTCATATGGACTGAACATAGAAATGCACAAACAGGTATGTTTTTGTTAAGATTTATATATTTTAACGTAGCAGAATATGGCTAAATAGCTTGACTGCCCGCTGTCGTTTCTTGAAGAAGTGTTCAAAATGGCTTACGTTATGAGGTGTTCTAGCAGATAGGAATTGCACTTGAAAACACTGATTTGGAGACTTGATATCCTCCTTGTACAGCGAGCTAATTTTGTTGTGATCAACTCCAGAATTAATAGCATTCATTCCATCAGTACACTAGTACATTTTCCCTGTCTGATTGTCATCTCACTGTCATTCTGTATGTAGGTGCCAATTGTGAATTCTTACAGCATTTCAGGGATTTGAAAATTCTGCATTTTTCGTGGTGTTTCACAAGCTGCTTGCTGGTGTACTTGTGACAACTGTTGGCATTACTTACATCAGCTGTATCGGGAAATTGTACTTAACACAAAAAAGGACATAGAGGCAGGTAATGAAGATCAGATTAATTACAGTTGAATGGTCATTAGTTCAAGCACAGGATCATCTCATGGTAATGAGCAGTGGTGAAGCAGCTATAGGACTCTTTTCCCCGATGTGAAAATGAAGAGGTTTCCACATGACCATCTAACATTCTCTGGGGCATAACTTTAAAAACAACTGCTGACCTTTGTCATCCACAGAACAAATATTTGTGAACATGTTTTTAATTTCTTAACTTTTTAACTCTTTCTGTGCAGTGAACCAGGAATTGTGCATGTGTTTGAAGATGACTTTTTTATTTGCTTTTGTGTTGACATTTGTTATAGATTTTGATATGTTTTTAAGCTCCACAGTATTATCAGTGTTTGAACATTCATCAGTTTGTTCTTTGTTTTTCTGTTTAAGAATATACAGAGTTTCAGGACTTAATGAGTATTGTTTTACACAATACTCTACTTTTCCATATATTAATTGGAAATGTTACAAACCTTAAAACTTGTTGGTGTCAGTTACGTACATCTATGTGGCTCTAATGAGCATACCACTCTCAGTATTTTTCGAAGTATAACCTAATGAGGTTTTTCAGTAACTTGTATGTAAATGTGCAAACGTTACAACATTCAAAAGTAAAAGCAGGGGATAATCCTAAAAGAGGCATGTCACCACTTATAAACTAAAAGGCATTATTTAACCAAGACACTTTTTAGGAGTGCATTAAAATAAATACTTTGGGCAAATGATGTGTATTAGTTATTCACTGATTATGAAGACCATCGGGTCATTTTGAGTAACATGTTATTGCAGTTAATATGCCTTGTTAAGGTGACCACAGCCTGTCAGGCTTGGCATATGTTTGCTTTGAATTTTGATATTACATGTTTCTTAGAGTTCTTTTGACAATTTGTAGTTGAAGTTGGCCAGCGTTCAGATTGCTTAAGTGTAAGTCATTTCCAAAAATCCCTTTGGTGGTTTATCACATTCTGAAATTCCAGTCAGTTTTGGCAGTGCCCCTCTTTCGCACACATGCACAGACTTTAAAACTCAGATCCTTTTAAGCACAGAGGCATATCTGTCTTTATTTGTTTTCTTAGGCAGGCAACCTCAGTTCCTATACTGTTTGGCTGCCCTTGTAATGGGAAACAGGCATTAATGCAGGGAGATTGCCCTGCGGCACTATTGGGTCTAGTTGTGTAGATCAAGTTAGGCTTATTCACTTATTAGATTTGTGTCTCTGAGGAAGGGGGTGGTGCAGGGAGGTTGCTTTTGATGTTTAGAGGTTTGGTAGTAACTGGTGTCCCTGAAATTTAAAACTTGAATGAACGTTTCTCTGGTAAAAGCTCTTGTTTCCCCTTTCTGCCCAGAGCTGGAGTATTTTTCCACCATTTGTTTTTGCTTGAAACAAATCGGTTCTGCTGTAGAGTCAAGGCTGTGACTTTGCAAGCTAACCAATTAATATTGTATTTATCAGCTGGTGGTTAAATTATATTTAAGTATTTGTATATATTCATCAATATATTGTGTCTGAGTGTTCTGGAAAAAACAAAATGGAAAACAGATTTTTCGGGGCTAAAGGAAATGATTCACAAATGACAAGGGGAACACAGGCATTACCAGTCAAAGTGAATCTTTATAGAGTGGCACAAAATTAAATGAAATCTTTTACTCTGGCACAGAATGCAAAAGGGCAGCCTTTCTTGAATATCTGTGTATGGTTTTTGTTATGTAGGATTGTCACAATCAAGACTATTTCTTTAAATATTGCATGCCTCTCATACTTTTGTAGCAGCAGGCAACATAACCTTAAATTTAATTGTTTTGCTCTGCCTCAGTGAAATGCTCCATTCAGACTAATGTAAATTTCAGTACTAGACTCGGGCAACAGCAGAGTTGCTGAAATATTAATTGAATAGAAATGAAAGGGCCCGGCTGGCTGATGGGATATCATAGTCATAGCTCTACCAGTCGATCGTAAATGATGATAAATGGCATTAGGAACCCTTTTAGCAAACTGTAATAACTACGAGGAGGAAAGCAGTATGGATTTGCATTATATCTGATACCCTCTAGTACCAAGTGGATTGCCAATACTGCTTGTTTAGCATTTTCTAAGGGCAATAGGAGTATTGATTTTTGACTTACAAGGAACGGCTCTATTTTCACTATTGAAACGTATTGCAGGTTGTTAAGAAGAAATTGACTTGAAGAGGCCTGACTGCTGCCCATCATGGAGCAAATAAAGCAAAACTGCCGAAGCATGGTGGAGCAGTGAGATGGAGGCCCTCAGCAATTTGTTGCTATTAATTTACCACGCTCGACAGCAAATCAATCGGCATCTACTTCATCTATTTGAGAAAATGCTGTCCAGGGCAGATAAAAGGCCCTACGTGGTACTGGGAATAGACTGGATTTGCCAAAAGAAGGGCAGAGTTAATGTGTAAATAAGTGAAATCAAGGCTGCCTTGTATTGAGGAAGCTTAGAATAATTAAGTACTGAGAGGTAATAAAATAAGTGCTTCAGAGCTCGAGCAAGTCGAAATGGAAGTGATTGATTATAGTGCGTGCTTGCGTGTATTTATGCATTTTGTATTCCAAGGGTGAAAGACTTTTACCCAATTGATTAATGGCCAATGAAAAGATGTTCATCATGTAATGTGTTTTAATAATGGCAGATGGGGATTGCTCCCGTATCGAAAGATTTCTTGTAAATGCACATTGAAGTTTGCAACATTTATGTGTACGAAGGTCAGACGAGAGAAGAATGAGGTGCGTCCTCACAATAATTGTTCAGGGGACATGAAGGGGGCTGAAGAAGAACAATTTGAAGTAATAACCTCAAATAACTGAGTCACTAAGTTGTATTTTACCAGTTTATATACTGTATATGCTTGACTCTGCCCACAAAGTGTATTTGTGGCTCTTGTAAGAAGGCAGGTAAGTGGTTTTCACTGTCTAAAGTGCTGATTGGCCTTTTTTTTTAATTGTAGGATTGCTAGCAGACATCTACTGGAGTTCAGATCTTGGTGTAGTAGCTTCAGAACATATAGTGCCTCACCCTTTTTTATCAGTGGACATTACAGGGTAGGCAAGACCCAAAGGAACATCAGCTGATTGAAAATAAACTTTAATTGTAAACTCTTCCCAGTTGTTTACTTTTTAGTCCTGTTATAAATCTTATATCTTTAGTTACCTTGATCTTTGCATTGCAGAGTTATATTTAAATGTTTGATTTGTTTTAGCTTCATAAAATACTTAGTATGCTACTTTGTCCTTCTCTCCTAATAGGTTTGCTACTGTAGTGTATATTTGTCATTCAGAGTGCACTGAGTACTTTACAGGGTTACAGAGGTGCTTAAACCTAATCTGGATTTATGAAATCCAATCACCTCTTCTTATGATACACACAGTCACATTTATTTATGTAAACATAAATACACAAGTATGCACATTCCAACTGTTATTGCAAATAGCTTAAACCAACCAGAAAAATATAATCGCTTTTACAACAGCAAACTTACAACGCAGCATGCAGAAATGTAGACAGCTGCCACATTCCAATGGTTTTGCTCTGGGATTAGATTTGTTTAAGGGATTATGGCATAGTCTTCATGATAGCTAATCATTTATTATTCAGCTTTTAGAAGCACTCTCTCCACCCACAGGACCCATTGAACACGCAGGGCAGTACCCACAGTAAAATGTGAGTAAAATGGTCAAAGGACGAAGCTAGCGTTTAGAGCCCATTCTGTATAGCTTTGGTAAACCACATACTTGATCACAATGTTTAGTGGCTTTAAGCATCAGCTCCAAAAATACAGCTTGTGCAGAGCTGTGGTTTAGATGTCTGTCACACAGACACCCAGAAGAAATGCGAAAAGTATAGTCTTCTATGTTTTTTTTAGCTTGTGAAAAAAAGATTTGATGTTTGAAATGGGAAGGAACAGGATGCAGCACAAGATGACTAATCCAAAGGCGTATTTCTAGGGGAATTTTGTGGCCATTTTAGCGTTTCAGTCACCAGGGAAGAAAATCCGTCAGGTAACAGTTATATACTTGCAGGAAATTTCCTGTTGTGTTTTACACTTTACTTGTGTTCATGTCCTAGGCATGTTTACTCAATGTACTTTGAGCTTCTGCACACAATTCAACTAGGGAGAAGTGTCCCAATAGATAAATGGTCAAGAGCAGTTTTTCAAGTCATGCTTGTAAAACTGCCATTCTCACTTCATTTAATTTCCCAAGTGCAGAGCAATCTAAAAAAATGTTTAATGCAGTACATTACCATTTTGTGACAGTTTTTTCCCTTCTGTGTGACAAAAATGTTTTACTTGCTGCGAACATTGTGCATGTTTAATAAGAGATGAGGCTTAGTGCTTTTGTGAAATGGACTTGAGGTGATTTTATAGTATTTTTATTATTAAATATGTTTTTTTTTCTAGATCCACAAACTCTCATTGGTTATTATAGGTAACAGAGTATTTGACGCATTTTGAATAGTTTTTTAAATAGTTTAATTTCTTTTAAAATATGCAGTTATAGTTTGAAATGAAGCCCCTCCACTT